TTCTCTGGGCTCAGCTGAAAACTGAACAATGCCAAAGAACACGCCCTTAGCCTGGTCCCAGTAACACAGGCTTCAAAATGCCGGGGTTGATCTGCACCACAGGGTTTAGTTGCAAATATCAAAGAAGCCAAAATAAACACGCCCAGCATGGGTTAGCACTCACCCTGCAGTCTTCCTTAGAGGAGCCCCCTCTCTCCATCTGAACATCTCCCCCTGTGGCTCCTCCCACTTACTTCCTCTTCTTGTTCTTTTATTTCTGGTCAGTCAGTCACTTTCCCTCATTATTGCTAATTACTGGCCAGCTGAGGCCCCTCTATATGGGCCACTTGTTGCTGGCTGGCTAATTGATCCAGGCAGCCAGCCTGTTACAGGTGGCCTCTCATAAATCCCCACCTTTATATCAGTGCCACGTCTTTCACCTTTCATCTTTACTTAGATGCGTTCTGTTTTGCTATCTTCCTCCTGAACCAGGGGAACAAGTATATCTGCTTTTGACAAACAAGACAACACCACCACCACCTTTGCTCCTATCCCTGTCCTTCCAAAACAGAGTGTAACCCTCGAGTTCATATTCCAGTCATAAGACCTGCTCCACCAGGTCTCAGTGATGCCGATCAGATCATAGTTCTTTTCACCAACTGCAGCTTCCAGCTCATCTTGTTTTTTCCCTGTACCTCTCACATTTGTAAATGGTCCTTTTACATATGTGCATGAGGTGTATTTTGAGTTTCCTGCTTCCCTTTTATGCCATTTGTTGCAGTCCTGTAGCTCTCTGGCCCTTTTCCAGAGTTGAGTTGCTTCTTCAAGTCCTTTCTTCTCTGGACTGTGCGCTCTGTTGCTGGAGGGTTTTGTTCACCATCCCTTGTGGAACCGAATTTAAAGCACCCCTTTGGCCTGATGAGGCGCAAAGCTGTTCTTCCCTGTTCTTGTCAGATGGATCCCATTTCTTGATAGCCCTCGTCTCAACATTCATGTGTTGTTGAAAAACCTGAATCCTTCATGTCAACACCACAATCTCAGCCATGTGTTCACTTCCAGGATACGACAGTCTCTGCCTGGACCCCATCTGCCTCTTCCTCAGCAGTTCAACCACAGAGTGCTAGAAAACAGTTGCTGACTTCAGTCCTCTCCTTTTCAATTCTGGGGACCCTCCTTCTCCAAGTAGTTACATGCTGCCACTTCTCATTGCCCCTTCTCCTCTCCAATACCAGCCTCTCATAACGCTTGTCCAAGTAATCTTCCTGGTCCCAGATGCAGTGCAGCATGGATAGTATTTCCGATCTGTGACTCTTCTCCTCCAGGGCAGACACCAGCTGACACTTGGTGCCGACGAAGTGCTCCTGACCCTCTGGAAGGAACACAAATATGGCACATCCTATGCAGGTCACAACAGCTGACCCAGACTCCATTTGTACCTCTGTTGCTCCCTGGAGCATGTGGAGGAATCACCCCCCCCAGTCTGCCTCACTATTGCAAACAGGCAACCTATCCCCGCATCTGTTCCATTTACCCCTGAACTGTGACTTGGGCTGGAGACATTCCTACAGGTGGGGGACCTGCTCTGTTTGTCTCAGTTTCCCATCCTTGCAGGTCATGTGACTAGTTGTATCGCCTGGTCAGTCTTATGTCGTTTGGAAGCACCAAACAGCCTCCAGTGGGACTGCTTCTGGTGGGAACTTAGTGACAAGGTCACAACAGGGATATACACAACAGGTCTATCCTAGCTCCACCCCTCAGCTACCTAAACCAGCCCTACCCAGAGCAAATCCTGTCACTCAGTCACTCCAGAAGAGGGAAGAAAAGAAAAGAACGTGGCATGGCCCTTTTACTTGCAGCAGAGCCTTTGTCACAGGACTCAGGGGCTCAAAGCCACAGCCATTCGCACCAAAGCCACTGCCTGCTGCCCCATGAACTCAAGGACATCCCCAGCAGGCTTACCACCAGCTTGTCAGGATCCCACTCAGCTCCACAGCCCCTAAGCTGCCACCCAGCAGGGTTTGTGCTCTGGCCCTTGCTGCCTCTCTTCTCGGAGCTGCACCAGAGCCCTGCTGCTCCCCAGTCTGGCCACGTGTTTGGCCTCCCATTCAAAAAGGGATGGAGCTTGGAGAGGATGGGGATGTCTTTAGCAAGGGGAGTCCAGGGCTGAGCACAAGGCAGCTTGGCTCTGCCTCCCAGTACCCAGGGCATTCACCCAGGCCCAGTGCCACCTACCGGTTACCAATAAACCTGGCCAGGAGCAGCTGCCCTTTTAGTCACACTTGTCTGCTATAGCAGGGCACTGGTCTCTGACCCAGGAGGGCCCTTCTGGGTCCATGTGCTATATTTTGGTCAGCAAAATCAGGGAGGAAACCCTGTGACCTGCTGGGCCAGGCAGCCTAGCAAGCTTCTGCCCTACCCCCACCCAGGCTGCACTCACCTAACTCAGTGCAATTAAAGCTGGAGCCATCCAGCCCCAACCCCATTAAAGTGCCCACTTTAATTAGTGGTGAGACTGCCAGCAGCTGCTTGCCTGCCAGCGCCTGCCCAATGGAAACACTCTCAGCAGAGCTTCCCTAGCTTGACCTGAGCTCCCAGCCCCAGAGGACTGAGAACTTGCTCCCACCTCTTCTGGGTAAATTGCATCTGCTCATTAGCCACGTGCCTCTCAAAGTTCTTGTCTCTAAAAGCTGTGGAGCCTGAGCTGGCCAAGGCAGCAAGAGCCCTGCGATTGGTCACACTCTCCACGTCTGGCAAAGAGCCCCAACTTCTAGTAGGGGGTCACCAGCACTTATGTGGGTTGGTAGGAGGTCAGCTCTTCCTAGGGGGGGCACCAAGGTAGCCAGAACTATAGCAACCTGCAGCAAGGCACCACCCCCATGGAAGCATAGCCCAGCCTGTGCCCTGAACTGACCTTCAGTCCCAAAGGGGTCATCCTCAGACCTTCTTCCAGCCATTCAATCTCATCCAGGACACCTTTAGCCTCCATCTCCTCAATCCCAAAGCAGCCTTGGGTGGTAGCCCCCGCCTTATAACACAAACTGCAGGAAGCCCTGGGACATAACACCACCCTCCTTTAACTCATCTCTGAGGAGTGGAGCCAGGGTCTGAGAGGGGAGCTGGACAGGCTGCTGGATGCAACTGCATTACAGCCTCACATGGGGTCATGGGCAAGGAGGTGATCTGGATATAAGGAAACCACAGGCTTGGGACTAACAAGTTGCACCTGTTACCTCTCTCATAACTTTGCCTGCACATTGGACTCTGCTAGGGTTGCCAACTCTCCCAGATTGGCAGGGAGTCTACTGGAATTGCCATCGATCTCCCAGTGACTATTGAAAGCAATCCCAGAGATTGATATTGTGAACAGGTTGAACAGTACAATTAATGATGTGACGGGCTAGCTGACAGTGACTTAGCCCAGGGGTTTTGAAAGGGCAAAAGATGATTGGAGGACTTGGGATTCCCTTTCCTCATCAATCAGGCCCCAGAGACTCACCCTTCATGTCCCCTGATTGGCCCCTTGGGTCACCTGGAGGGGGATAAAAGGGGCAGCGCAGCTGACTCCAGAGACCAGTGAGGGACCACAAGGAAGGGGCTTCAAAGAGCTGGCATGAGCTGGGCCAGTGGGGCGAGAGCAGTTGCCCCAGAAGAGCCTGAAGGAGTGGGACCTGAAGGCAGCAGTTGGACCCTCAGCAGCGCGGCGTGCAGCCGACAGGAGAGGCTCCCCATTGGGCTCCAGGATTGCCTACGAGAGGCCGTGGCCAGCAGGAAAGGCTCTCCCGCTGCAGCAAGGATCTGAGCAGTGACCTGAGAGGTTCCCAGCTTTGCTTCTAGCTCCTCCAATAAGAGAAGCTAGAAGCAAAGAATCTATAGTGGGAGGAGAGTCCCTATACCTCCCACAGCGCTTGGGCACCTGCTTTGATCCCTTCAATTGGAGAGGGGCTACCTCTTGGAGTACCGCCCAGGTTACAATGACATTGCATCCCTTTGGGAAAAAAAAATCTCCCAGAATAGCTTCAGTTAGAATTGGCAACCCTAGACTCTGCCCTTCCAGGCACTGCCTGTGCCTTTGCTGACTATACCATTGGGGCAGGGACTGCATCACTGTGCGTGTAACAAAGAGATCCAAAGCTGGTTTGAGCCCACTGGGAACACCTCCATGCATGCACACACACACACACACCAGGCTTGGGCCCTGCTGCTCCCGCTCCCCTGCCCACACACAATGTAGCCTGCCATTTGGAAAGTACCTGGCACATTGTGCCCTCCTGCCTACTAAAGGCTGATTGATGAGGATGCTGCCTGGCAGTGAATGCCTCCCCTTCCAAAGAATCCCTGCTCAGCAGTTTCTGAGCCAGGCCCTTGCCCAGGAACAGCCCAGCTTCCAGCATCCCACTAGTCCACAGTGCAAGTCTCCTAAACCCCCTTTGGAGCTGCCTGGCAGCTTTTTATTCAACTCAGACCAAGCTTCGAAACAGGCTTGGAAAAGGCCCATCTCCTGCAGTGCCAGTGCCTCAGAGAGCCAAGCCTTGGGCAGAAGACAAGCACGGCTGTAATCCCCACTAGGGCCCCTGGGGATTATAGCCAAGAGCGAAGTTCCTGTCTGCCCCACAGTGCTGGGATGGACCCAGAACAAGCCCTGGCTCGTCATTATCTACCTTTGTCTGAGTCCCAGCATGAGAAATCCTCTCCGAGGGTGATGATACATTTACTTAGTAAATCCTTCGCCCACAAGATGTCTCTGTGTGCTGCATATTGGCAGACAACACAGTCCTTGGTTAACAAGAGAAAGGAGACTAGAATGGGAGATGTATGGAAACCTGTTTGTACCTGTCTTGGTAGTTGTTTTACCTATTAAATGCCCCTTAACTCCATCTAGGAGAACACCCTGTTTTATCTCCCAGACCCAGGGAAAGCCCCATGTAGTGCATTGTCCATGGCTGATGCAGTTTCCTGGCTATATTTGGCTCTGGAGAAGAGGCCTGAATGTTGGATTTTATTCTCCCTGTTCTGTCTTTCAGGCTAAACCGTCTGTGAAATGACACCAGGGAGTTTTGCCCAGATTCATAGATTGTAGAGTCGGAAGGGACTACAATGGATCATCGTGTCCGACCCTCTGCCCCTGGCAGGAAAGAGGACCGAGGTCAGATGACCCCAGCCAGGTGACTATCCAGCCTCCTTTTGAAGACCTCCAAGCTAGGTGATAGCACCACCTCTCTTGGAAGCCCATTCCAGATCCTGGCCACACTTAGTGTGAAAAATTTCTTCCTAATATCTAACCTAAATCCACTCTCAACTACTTTACACCTATTATTCCTAGTCACTCCCTGGTGCGCTTTAGTAAACAGCACTTCCCCTATTCCCCATTGACCCCCCCTAATAAATTTATAGGCAGCCACAAGATCTCTCTTCAGCCGTCTCTTGTGAAGGCTGAAGAGACTCAGCTCTCTCAACCTCCCCCCCGTAGGGTCTATCACGAAGGCCACTAATTATGTGAGTGGCCCTCCTCTGGACCCTCTCGAGATTCCCCGCATCCCTCTTGAAGTGCGGCGCCCAAAACTGGACACAGTACTCCAACTGCGGCCTGACCAGTGCCGCATAGAGGGGGAGCATCACCTCCTTTGTTCTATTAGTTATGCACCTGCTAATGCACGACAAGGTGCGATTGGCCTTGTTGATGGCCTCGTTTCACTGCCGGCTCATGTTCATTCCTGCGAAACTGGTGGGTTTTGCAACAGCCTTCTGGCTTTGTGGATAACTTGCTTGGTTGCAACCAGATAACAGGATTCATTTATCCAATGCTGTGATTGTGACTTTTGTAGGAGTTGGCAGGCAATGATCTTTGAGTAGATGTGCTATCTTTTATTAGATCAACTGAGTAGTTGGAAAAACATTCTTAGCAAGCTTTCAGGAGCAATCACCCTTCTTCAGGCATAGGAAGTCTCTGCTGTTGTGAGACTCCAAGGATTGAGAGAAGCTAAAAGATAGGAGTTGGGCATCTCACTGCTTTTAGAAATCTAGCCCTTCATACCTGAGAATTTAGCTGCAGTCTTGCATTTCTTTGGTTCCAGCTCCATCCCTGGCCGCACCCTAAATAATTCCTTTCCTGGGGTGTAGTGTTGCCTACTAGCATATTTTCTATCAACTTTGCCTGCTCTGAGCCAAGTGACATTTTTTAGCTCTAATTTGGCCTAAGAAATCAGCTCCTCTGAGCCCTCAGGTCCATTTTTGCTGTTCTCCAAGCCCCCACTTGTCAGCATTTATCAGGAAATGGTATGTCTAAACCTGCCTTCTCCACTCTTCTTTGCCTACTGCAGGAACAGGGCCTGACCTGTGATATGCTCATGTGGAAATGCTGAGAGAAGAGCAAGGCAGCTGCTCTGGCTGTGTGGGGCTTGCACTGCGTGGATTTGACTTTGCAACTCATGTAGAGCAGGGGCCATTTTTTCCCTTGGTTGTACCTATGCAATGCCACCAGTTTCACTGGTGCTCATGGGTGTAACTCAGCCATAATATGGCCAGTCCCATTTGGAGGCTCTAAAGAGTTAATGCTTCAGGACAGATGGTTGGTATGTCCTAAAACTCTGGACTTGTCCAGCTTGAGAACCTCAGAGTCTCAGTGTAGCTTGATAACAGAGGTCAGCAATGGAGACTGAGGTCAGGAGAGACTGGGGCATCAGGCAAGCTGGACTCCTTTGAATCCCTCTTTGAATCCAGATCTCAGCTGCATGTCTTGGGCTCATCTTTAATCTCCAAATTAGACACCAGCTTCTCCCTTTTACCACCCACTACCAAGCACCACTTGAAGGGGATGGCACAGCTCCACCCTAATGACACACATGAGCTGCCCCAGCTGCTCCCAGCACAGCTTGTGGTGGAAAGCAGGGATGGCTGGAGACCACCTTTGTGACCCAAGGACCTGTCAATGCCAAGCCTGACCTGATCCCCAGTAGCACCATAGCTCTAGCCCCTAGGGGTGACTTGTTCATCTGAGAACAGCCAGAGCCAGCCATGCCCTTAGGCCATGGTGCCAGCACATGGGCAGTGTCCAGCTGCTATGCTGGCTCTGTGCCACCCAGGGACTCCTTTTGAACACAGGAAATCCCCACATGGACAGTGGGGTTGGCCTGCCCTCACCACAGCGGGAGCAGGGGCTCTTGTGTGTGTGTAGGGAGGAAATGCTTTGTGTATCCCTGCCCAAGGGCACCAGGAGCCTTTGGTTTCTGTGCCAAGCCCTCCTTGGGCATCTTGCTCACTTCCTCTCTCCCCAGCAAACATGAAAGGGCTGCTGATAAACAAGAGCCATCCTTCCAGCCCTGTGCATGGGAGGGGGGGTGTTTCCAGCCTTAAAAGCATCCCTCCATCCCGGACAAGGGGACACCAGTAAACAGGGAACAATTCCCCATTGTGTTGCCCTCTCTGGCAGCCCATGGTGACCCCACCCTGGCTTGCTGGTGTTTATAAACTGCCTCTGGTTGGGTTGGCCTCAGCCCCACTCAGGCTTTGTGTACGTGGTTTCTTTCCTCTCCCCTTTTAACAAAGCCCTTCCCGGCAGGGCTGGTGGTTCACACCATTGTGTGGGGCCTGAGCGGCTGCAGGAAGAAACAAGATCCTTATCAGGCCCCGGAGTTCAGGCAGCTGTGAGATCATGCTGTCCCCATGAAGCCATATGGGTTGCCGCAGGACCCATTTCCTCTGCCACTGGGCTGGAGAAACTGCTTCAGATAGCAGTTCGTCTGTGTGCCCGGCTCCCTGGGGTCTGACTGTGCACTGGCTCCCCTCCAGCCAGGGCAAAGCTCTCCTAACGTGTGTGTGACAGCCTCATGCATCTCCCTCTGCCCATCTCGTTCAGACAAGTGTAACCAGTATCCCAGAATCCTTTTTTGTGGTATCTGAAGAACCATTGGCAGTGTCTATGGGACCAGGTGGACGGTAGGGCAGTCACCTTTCCTGCTACCTGGCAGGATGGGAAAATCCCCAACGAGGAATGGCAGGGCCTCCACAATGCCTCATGGATGGGAGCGTGAAGCTGGAGCCACTTCCAAACCGAAGCTCAGCCTTTAACTTGGAGGCAGAGTTTGTGTTTTGTCCTATAGGGTCCCACTGTGAGCTGGGACAGTGCCCAGAGGAGGGAGGTGGACACAGCTTCAGAGCCATGGCAGGCACCCTAGGGAGGGATTTGGGAACCCAGAGAGGAGTGTATTCATTTCCTCCCTGACCTGAGGTTCAAGTGGCTGCTTCCAGGGGGGATGTGGAGCTCTTTAAGCAAAGCAAAAGCTGCGCTGCCTGCTGCAAAATGTGAGCAGGATGCACAAAATATGAGCTGGGAACAGGAGGAGGAGTTGGGGGATAAAATGAGACAGGAAAGAGAGAGGGTAGTAGGAGGAGGCAGGTCATGGGAGGTAGGTGGAGAAAATAGGGTGGGAAAGGAGAGAAAGGGTGGAGGGGAGGGTGTGAGAGAGCAGGGGAGACAGATCTTCATCAACCTGGCATGCAGCCCTGCAGAAGGAGCTGGAGTCTCTCCCAGGCTCTGTTGGTCTCCACTAATGACACCCTTAATGGGATTTTCTGCCTCTTGTACTCAAAGAAAGCTGCGGTGGTTTTCATGATGTCAGCTGAATGGGGAGCACTGGGTAACTGTGCTGTGCAGCTGGGGCTCAGACAGGAGGCTTACCCCTGGCTGAGCACTCCTATGGAAAGGTGTGCAGCCCTGGGAAGAGGAAGAGCTGCCAGCCCAGTAGCCCACCCCCAGTCCCATGCTCTAGTTCCCCATTGGGGTGGGGGAGGTATCCTGTGGTCTCCTTACCCCTTCTCCATAGATTTCATAGATTTTTCAGGGTTGGAAGGGACCTCAGTAGATCATCAAGTCCAGCCCCCTGGTCTGGGCAGGAAAGAGCACTGGGGTCAGATGACCCCAGCCAGGTGTTTGTCCAGTCTCTTCTTAAAGACCTCCAAGGTAGGGAAGAGCACCACCTCCCTTGGGAGCCCATTCCAGATTCTGGTAACCCTTAGCGTGAAATTCTTCCTAATGTCTAGTCTAAATCTGCTCTCTATCAGTTTGTGGCCATTGTTTCTAGTTACTCCAAGGGGCACCTTGGTAAGCAGAGCATCTCCTATTCCTTGCTGCCCCCTCCCCAAATTTGTAGACAGCCACCAAATCCCCTCTCAGCATCCTCTTACAGAGGCTGAAGAAATCCAAGTCCCTCAACCTCTCTTCATAAGACCTATACTGCAGGCCCCTAACCATACGAGTGGCCCTCCTCTGGCCCCTCTCAAGGTTATCCACATCCCTCTTGAAGTGTGGTGCTCTTCTTCACTGCACTGCATTCTCCTCCGGGGTGGGGAGCTCAGTACAGGAGGGTTAGCCATCGCCCTGCTCTTCTGCTCTCCTCCTTGGCTTCTTCTGAGGTCCATGAGATCCCAGGGCCACCTTCCCCATCAAAGCCCAGAAGTCCCTCCAGACGCAAAAGAGGAGCCTATTTACCAAACAAGTCCCTCCCCTGGGCGGGATTAGGGTAATGTAGGGGTGGGGTTAGAGCAGGGGTGGGCAAAATGCAGCCCGGGGGCTGAATGTGGCCTGTCAGGCCATCCTATCTGGCCCGCGGGGCCCCTAAAAAATTTAGAAAATTAATCTTTATATGCCCCTGGCTGCCTGTCATGCAGCCCTTGATGGCTTGCCAAAACTCAGGAAGTGGCCTACCGCCCAAAACAATTGCCTGCCCCTGGGTTAGAGAGTCTCTCTCCCTGTGGCTTGGAAGGGCCCAGTGCACCTGGTTTGTTGATGGGTGGGCCGGGTGGTGTCAAACCCACTCCATTTAGCCTGTAAGCTTCAGGGGGCAGAGACCTTCTTCCTGTTGCATTCCCTGGGCACCAGGTGCATGTCTGGGGCTCCACAAAAATCACCCACAGCCTTGTACCACTGCCCATGCCAGGTACTGGGCAGTGGGGGAAGAACCTGGGAAGGGGACAGGGGCTGCTCAGAGCTATTGGCCTCTGAGTGCCCAGTTCTCAGCGGCCCAGAGATGACTGTTTGTTGTGTCGCTCCCTCCCATGCTCACTTTGCACTTTGTAGTCCCTCTGCAAAAATAAACTCTGTGGCATTGCCTGAAGTAACTGCAGGGAAACACGGCTGGTCTGCCTCCCTTTCACACAGACCACAAGCCCCATCATCAGAGGAGGGGCGGTGACTCAGAGGAACATGGTGTGGGATGGCCAGGCTCTGACCTGAACAATATCCCCCTAAAAAGCACAGTTTTGGTCTACACTGGAGCAAGGTCAACCCCACAGCAGCCCAAACTGTATCAGGTGCAGACCAGAAATGACTCATTTCACTGGCATAGGTGTCCATGGAGCACTAGCTGCCTCAAAGAAGTCGGTAGTGCAAACATCTGGGTAGGCAATATTCCACACCCAAGGAGCCACCTTTAAGCAAGCAGCTGTGCAACACTGGAACAAAAGCTGATGCAGGTTTTCCAAGGGTGAGATCCTGATTGTGGCCATGAGAACCTGAAGCCCAGCCTACACCAAAACCTGCCTGAAATGGCCACCCACAGAATGGACAAAACTAGCTGCCTAATTGAGGCTGATCTCTAGCAAATGCTGAGGGTTCCTGGAAACCTCAGCACACTCGCCGTGGTCCCCAGGGCACGGGGTTATCTGCCAGGGGTCTTGCTGAATGCATGTGATTTCAGGGCAGATATAAAGCAGAGGTCATGACCAAGCCTGTGTATCAAAGCCCTAAGAAGGGGAGTGGTAGGTCTGCTGTCCTGGTGGAGCTCCAGGCTGAGTAATTAATTACAGTTCCCTTATGGTTCCAGTTGGAGACAATATTCCACTTTCTGGCTAATGAGCTTCTGGGCGTGTTGCTGTCAGCCTGGGGCCGTGCTCTGGGCTAGGGAACGCCTCCATACAAACCCTGCATGAGAGCCCTCTTTCTGCGCAGGGGAAACTCTCCCACTGAGTTCCCTGGAAGTTGCACTGGGGACAGGTTGCAGAATGGGACTTGGAAGAAGCCTGGTCCTTTGTGGGTTGCACCACCTTTGGCTGAAAGAGGCTCTGGAGAGGATGGGGGAGTCTCAGTGACTAGGGCACAGGCGGGCTGTTGCTCAGGCTGAGTCAGAGCATTCCCAACACAGCAGAGAGCCATGGCAACCCAGGGTTGGACTGCTCTCACTCACTGTGTCCCCTGACCTCGGGAACAGACTTTTCAAGCTCCAGCTCTTGCCATGATGTTTCCACAAGAATCTCCGTAAGCACTTAGTAGAGGGCCATACCCATAGACTGGCAGGCAGAAACTCTCAGGGGATACCAGGCTTGCACAGCCAGCTCTTAGACCTTTCCTCTCCACTACAACCCCAGCATACAGATGTGACTGCAGTGCTCAGGCTATTCATAGCTGGCAGACAGTCAGCTGGACACATGCAGACAAGGTTCTTTGGGTAAATCTTATATCTTTTATTAGACTGACTCAAATAGTTGGAAAAATTCTTCTTTGCAAGCTTTCGGGTATAAATACCCTTCGTCAGGCTGAGGAAGCATCTGTAGTTGGCGTGTGCTCTTCCTGGATGGAATGAATAGTAAAGAAGCTGGAGGCTGGTAGGTATGCAAGAAAGCCCATCACATAGGTGGCAAACGGAGTAGCTCCTCTGCTGCTCTAATAGGCACCAGGGCCTTGCCAAGCAGAGAATTTCTAGCACTGCCTGCCTGGCTCCCCCTCTCTGCTGTGTTGATTGGATCTCAGCTGTAGCAAAGAGTCTGAAGCTATGATTTCCACCCAGCCAGGGGTGGTAGTAAATACGTAGCTGCAGTACAGAGCATGTGATATACTCCCCTCCTCCCCTCAAGGCATGAACTGGCTGAGTGTATCAGAAGGGCTGGAGGGCAGATGAGGGCAAGTAGTCTGTTTTGGGTGGAGACTGGCTACATTATTCCTGAGTGATCCCAAAGGAAAAAACCACTGGGGATTGAATGCTGGCCCTTTGATTTCTGCTGCCTTCTCTGATGAAAACCTACATTGTCCTCTATAGGTTTGGAAAAACTCAATCAGCTTCAGCCCCAGAGCCCAGCTGGAAACGTGTTTTGGAAACAGCTATTAATGGCAAGCAGCGCTCACTGAGAGACCTTTCATCATCCCTGCTACCCCCCTCCCCGGCAGCAAAAACAAAGAGAGAACTGACTCCAAGCCCCAGCCCCCAGAGCGAGGGTTGGTTTATTTGTTCAGAAAGCTGATGGATTTCATTCAGCAGGCACTAGGTTAAGTGAGTCGGCTGAGGAGAGGGAGAGCGCTGAGCCCAGGGGATCAGCGGAGACAGACAGAGCCTTTCAGCTCCAGGTCACAGGTCCTGAACATCCCGTAGTCGGGCGCCTGTTGCTGTGACACCAAGCAGGAGGGGGTTCCTCGGCAGGATGAAGGCTGCCATGATGCTGTGTGTGTGGGGGGAGGGAGGTCCATGCTCACCTGAACAAGAGGGAGGTTCTGTGGCTGCGTGACTGTTGCCATGACACCGTGTGTATATGTGTGTGTGGGGGGGGTCCTGTACCTGGGTGACTGTTGCCATGACACCGTGCAGGAGTGGGGTCCAGGGCTGGATAAACGTGGCAGCAGGCCACATGCAAAGCTAATGCCTGGGACCTCCATTCTGCCAGTGCCACAGCGGAGCAGAGAGGTCAACAAAGTTCCCATGGAAGGCCCGTAATGTCCATAGCTGCCTGGTGATACCTTCTCCCCAGCTCGCACTGCGTCATGGGAGACTTCAGAGCAGGAAACCACACCCTACTGCAAAGTGATTCACCTGCTGGTTGTTCAGGAACAGGCTGTGCTGCACTGCTTGAGGGAGCCCAGCCGGTCTGTCCCAACCCTGGCAGAAGCTCTGTTCTGACCCCACAGGCCATCCCAGCACTGTGCACCCAGCAGGGCTCTTCCCTTCCCTCTCATCAGCAATAGCAGCCTACCTCAATGAACCACCACAAGAACAGTACTGCACTCTTATACAATGCTTGCCACCAGCAGGTCTCAAAGTACTTTACAAAAGAGGTCAAGAGCATTATCCACATTTTACAGATGGGAAAACTGAGGCACAAAGACGGGAAGTGACTTGCTCAAGGTCACCCAAGAGGCCAGCAGTAGAGAACACAGGTTACCAGAGTCCCAGTCCATTGCTCTGTCCATTAGAAACAACGCTGCTTCTCTCTCAGCCCCACGTGCACTGTCCACCACGTTTTCCGCCTGTCCATTTTGCTTTGTTCTGCCACACCGTCCTCCTGAGCATCATGTCTCTCAGGGGCAGCCCTCTATCTTGGGGGATGTGCTCAGATAGCCAGGGACTTCCCACTGTTGTGATGAATACCACTAGGACCTTCCATGCACCTACAACCAGGTCGGAAGCAAGGTGCTGCCAAGCAGGAGGCATGGCGGAGCAGGGTGGGGAATGCATGCTCGGTGGTCAGAGGAGGCTCCCCAAGCTGCCTTTGGTGCTGGAGATGAAGGTGGCAAGCAGTTGCCATGGGCCTCTGGGGGCTGATGTCTCCAGGCCCAGTCATGCTGGCTTGGCGAGTCCTGTTGTCAGAACAGCCTGGACACCACTCCCGGGTGGGCTGATCCTCGTTTATGGGGAGGGGATGTTCCACACTGGTCACCCCAGTCCCATGTCCCACCCCCCACCCCTTCCCTAAAAACTCTTATGTGGCCACAGCCTGCCTGGGCATGCGGTTCCTCTCACTGTGCTGCTTGCTCCTTCCTTTCTTGGTGGTGTCTGGGATGACAAGTGCATTTTTGCCCTTGGAGAGCTTGCCCTTGCGGCGCTGCCGGTCGCTGCACCACACCCGCTCGCAGTACTCTTCTACCCGCTGCAGATTGGCATAGCCAATAAGGTGCATTATGTCCTTGAACCATGCCCTCTGCCCATGTGGCAGACGTGGCTCTGGCACCAGGCAGGGCGGGCGTACTGGCTCATCCTCCCGCTGGAAGACATGCTCCAGCTGCTCACTCTCGATCACCTCCAGCGCAATCTTGGTGATGGTCTGGGTGAAGCCGTGCTCCAGAGTTTTGCAGTAGTAGGTGCCAGCGTCCTGGCGGTACAGCTTCCGGAACAGCAGCCCCTGCTCTGTCTTCAGGATCCTTTCATCAGTCTTCACCTGCAAGAAATCCTACGGCAATGAAACAAGGGAACACTAAAGACTGCTGGGCTTGCGCCCGCCACATGCCCTGACACCTTGCCTCCCTCTTAGCCACCTCAGCCACAGAGGATCAGACTATGGGTCTCCCTGGTACCTTCCATCCACCTGGCTCCTTCCTGTAAACCCCACAGGATCAAAGCAAAGGGCCCCTGGTGTCTCCAGTCACCTAGGATCAGACCAAAAGCCACCCCTGCTCTGGTGTCTTGCTACCAAGCCAGTCAGTATTAGGCACATCCAAGACATGTTCCCCATACTTCCCCTTT